AACCAGGAGATTGGGAGGCAGGGATATGGCAGGGATATGTGTGTGTCCTGAATCCCATAAGGTTGTCAGCTCTGGGCTCGGAAATTCCTGGAGATTTGTGGGTGGAGCCTCGGGGAGGGCAGAGTTTGTGGAGGAGGAGCTCAGCAGGGTATAATGCACCAGAGGTCACTGTCCAAACCAGCCATTTTCTGCCCAGAAACTGATCTCTGTTATCTGGAGATCATTTGGGAGATCTCTAGGACCCTCCTGGAGGTTGGTAACATAGCATCCTGCACGAGCTATACCATCACTTCCTGGAAAACCTGGAAGTGACATCACATAACTCTAGGAAATGTAGGAGACTCCATGGAAAAACTAGTGTTTCCTGTGATTCCTTGAGCTACCTGATATCACTTTCAGGTTTTTCCTGGTGTGTCATGGCACACACACAGCTAATGTTGGGTTTAAAAAAAAAATCTCCCAGCACTGCAGTAAGCAACAAGGATTGCCAGCAAGAGGCCTGGCAACCCTACCCCACTGGGGTGTCACCAGTGTTCCCTCTAAGCTGAGTTAGTGTGAGCTAGCTCAGTTTTTTTAGCCTCCGGCTCACACATATTTGTCTTCGCTCAGGAAGGATGGCTCCAGAGCAAGCTAATTGATGCAGTAGCCAAATCGCTGGCTCACAACTTTAATGCCAGTAGCTCACAAAGTAGAATTTTTGCTCACAGGACTCCATAGCTTAGAGGGAACATCACTGTCAGCAACCCTAGTGGTGTTCCTCCATTCCTTTTGTTCTCAGCAGACTGTCACACGTATTGTGTCTCTGCTTGGGCTGAAAGTAAACATTGGACAGAGGAGCGGCAGCCATGTTTTTTTCAGTCAGTAGATAAACAGGGCCTAAGTGCAGAGAACCCAAAGCAGATTGCAGGAACGTTTCCAGAATTTTTGGGGAACAATCACTCGTAATTCCTGATTCTGACCTAGAATGGACCTAACAGGTTTTTTTTTTCTCTGCTAGCAAGGAGTGCCACCTTTTGCTGACGCACTTACAGAATTCAGTTGTAAGATCAGCTGGACAGCAGGAGAAATATGGCAGACGGGGCAGAGTTAGGATCCCCAACAGATGATGCCACTTCTGGCATTACTCGGGAGTGACGTCATCATGTTGTGTGACACTCTAGCATTGGTTCAAAAAGCTCTGGTTAAACCATAAAGCTTGGGGCGAGTGCAAAAGAGTTACTCTGGTACAAGACATCATTTCTCGGTTACATCAGAAGTGATGTACTCATGCTGGGGATGCAATCCTATACCCCCATCATTGGTTTCTGCCTTAAGAACATAAGAACATAAGTTGCCAGGCCATGAGGAGGTGGTGTGGGGAGGAGGATTTAACACCCCTCATCTGAGAAATTTCATTTCCTGTCACAATACAGGCTTCCAGGCCCTTCTTTCCATGAGAATGAAGGGCACATAAATAAATACGCAAGGATCCCCCAATGAAATCTAGTTTGATGCCAGGTTGATCGGTTTGGTCCGGTGGCTACTGCCAATTCCCACCAGCTTACCAACTACAAATCAGTGGTTAGACTCTCAGGGCAAGGCCCGAACTGCCCTTTGTATTTACCTCACGACGCTTGCCTTGCAGAATTTGTGAGGATGATGTCACGCTGATGGGAGTCCACCTCCTCGCCCCCGGATCCAAGCACGGAATGAGAGACCCTCACGATTGCTTTACAAACATACGGATTTCAACATCAAGTCCTAACCTGAACTGGGAGATGGCAGCAATCTTCAGTTTGCCAGTGCAGCTGAGTAGCCCAACGGGCTGGGTCTGTATTAGGGGCTCTGAGACTGCTTCTTTAATAGAAGGGGGCAATGCCCTCCTTTGCCAAGCCCTCTGCTCTCCCTTATCTTGCTCAAACGCGCCCAACCAACCTGCCCCCTCTCCTCGTTTCGGTCCCAAACCTCTCATTCCGACCCCACAGCATTCTTCCCCCACTGCAGTCACGTCAAATAAAAGCTTCTTTGAATTGGATCACTCTGGATCTGCGTGAGAACCTTCCCACAGCACAACCGGCATCACTGGCCAGAACTGTCCTGCTGCCGGCCTTTACGGAGGTCACCAAAACCCATTTGAGAACTCGAGTCCGACCCAACCAGAAAGCGGCTTAGCTACTTTAATCGCCGCTCGGGAGAACAGCATATGGGCAGGAATAAACGGATTACCGGAAACAATGTCCTGGGCATGGAGCAATGAAACTTTTATTAGGAGTGTGGGGCTGGGAACTGGGACACCTGGAGTTGATGGCCAGCCCAGCACTGCAGGGAGGGAGACTGGGGGAGAGAGGATCCCTGGGCCCTCCACTGCCAACAAACTCCGGCCATTCAACGGATTACAGCTCTCGGCTTCCTTGTTTCCGCCTCATGACCCTTTGCTGATTAAAAGCCGGAGAGTTTGAACAGCTGCTCTCGTTCTGCTCCCCCCAAAGGAGCCCAGTGGGCAGATAGGGGAGAAGGCCGAGTCAAGGTCATTCCTGCCCAGACCTGGTCATATCCAGCTCCTGCCTCCAGGTCCTCAGCTGCTGTCCTTCGTAGCTCACCTCTGATCCCCCTCAGCAGTACCTAGATGGGTTTCCTTCCACTATGACCCTCTGGATCATATTACTCCAACCAAACAGCTGGAAGAAAATGTCCTGTCCCTTTAACTGAGGCTGAATGGGTGGGAAAGGCCAGCTGAAGTTTTTCGTGGACATGAAATGACATCCCATGAAACCTCTGTCAAAGGGGCAGGATATTTTTCTCCAGGCCTGTTGGCAAGCTACTCTAGAGCCCCAGCTTCTCTGACGAGGGCATTTGCCTTTTCTCAGCAGGACTGTTGGCTGTAATCCATTTATTCCTGCCCATATGTGCAAAAGTCCAGCTTACTAACGCACGCATTTGATTAAGCCCATTATGTAAAGCTCTGACTCTCTCTGTCCTCCCCGGCCTGCACTTCTGCCTTATGTCAATCAGTCACCACCCGAATAAGTCACGCCCCCTTGCCAGGAGGCAACTGAAAGGATGCACAGAGCCATCAAAGCGTCTGCGTCACATGTCACATTGTAAGCTGCCTTGAGAAGCGAACAGCCAAAAGAAAGCCTCTGGGGCTCTGACTTCGGACTTTTGACTAGGGGACCCATTTTCCTGTGCTCCAATTGACTAAGGCTTTGTTACACCGCGTATTGGATGAGACACACAGGAGGGGGTCAGTCAAACTTTATGCCAAGTATTTGCTTTAATTAGGGTATAATGCCAAGATTGTTCATATGTGTGTAAGGACAAGGGAATACTGTCGATCTATCACTTGAAGAGCATTCTTCCACGATGAAATGCAAGATGGATCATACCTGCTTTGCCACAGACTAAGGAGAGAGGAAGGGGTTCCCTTTTGACGGTCAAAAAGGCTGTTCTGGGGAATCACTGGACCAATGTGCACAAAAGCCATGGGGGATGTGGGCTGCAATGAGGAGGGGTGAGAGGAAGCAGAAACACTGGTAGGATCCAAGCATGGTAGGATCCAAGCAGGGAATTAGATAGGCATATGGAGCAGAGGTCCATCAGTGGCTATTAGCCACAAGGTATAGATAGGGGCTCTGGGGCAAGTGATGCTCTGTCTTCTTGGTGCTTGGGGGGGGGGGGACAGTGGGAGTGCTTCTAATGTCCTGGCCCCACTGGTGGACCTCCTGATGGCACCTGGTATTTTCGGCCACTGTGTGATACAGAGTGTTGGACTAGATGGGCCTTTGGCCTGATCCAACATTGGCGTCTCTTATGTTCTTATGATCCAACCCGTATTACTACTAGGAGGTCCTATCTGGGCACTTAGTAGACCCAGACCTGTTGGGCTTCAACACGGTTGCTGCGTTATGTACCCTCCTAAACATGGACACAAACTTCCAATCTACAATGCAACAGGGCTGGCTTCTCTGCAGCCCTGACCTGGATAGACGAGGCCTGATCGTGTCAGAGGTTGGGCCCTGGTTCATATTTGGGTGAGAGGCCACCAAGGAAGTCCAGGGTTGCTACATAGAGGCAGGCAATGGCGAGTCGCCTCTGAATGTCTCTTGCCTTGAAAACTGTATGGGTTGCCATCAACGTTCCCTCTAAGCTGTGGAGTCCTGTGAGCAAAAATTCTGCTTTGTGAGCTACTGGCATTAAAGTTGTGAGCCAGTGATTTGGCTACTGCATAAATTAGTTTGCTCTGGAGCCATCCTTCTTGAGCTAAGATGATGATGATGATGCTTTCGATTTATTAATTTATTAATTCCCCACAAGTGGGCTCAAAGTGATTTACAGTTACTCTTTAGACAGGGGACTAACAATGTTTCATAGGGGATAGGGAAGACAACATATAATTCATTTTAATTGCACATGCTGTAACTGCACGGTGGAAACAATTCTGGCTGTGAGAAAAATGTGTGAGCCGGAGGCTAAAATAATGTGAGCTAACTCACACTAACTCAGCTTAGAGGGAACATTGGTTGCCATGACCTGGCTGCAACAAGAGAACCACAGTTATAGATCTCCTATATCCCTGCTGAGAAAACCTGTGTATGCGGTGTGGGGAGGGGACAGGGGAATTGCTGATCCACTCTAGCTCACTCCCTGGCCTCTAAGTTTAAGGGACTTCTGAAACCAGATAAATAGATCAGGCCAGTTAAACACCTCTTCCTACAGTAACACATTTTATTGTTATGAACTTCATTTATCGCCCACCTTTCTCACTCAGATATGAGGCAAATGGCCTTCACTCAGCCAGGAGGTTCTGTTACTGAGGAGAGTCCCCTGATGAAGGAAAGGTGGTGCTCATGATGGATACCAATTCATTTCTTTGCTTTTTGGAAAGAAAAAGGTTAGGCTGATCTTAACTGCCCCGTGTATGGCTCTTGGAAGGAAGAAACCATTTGAATAGCATGTGAACTGGAAGGACCCTGTCTCATTAAAAATAATAGAGCGGCTCTTCTGGATAATTCAGCTTCCCCTCAGGGCTTCCTCAGAATCCGTCTCCACAGTTCCGAGCGCAACAGATCTCGCTCCTCCCGGATTCCTTGGAGGACACTCCGGTTCTCATGAGCGCGGCGGATCAGGTAGGGGATCACCTCCTCCACAGAACCATAGGGGATGGATTTGTAGACGGCGTAACCTGCATGCCCTAAGGTTGGGCGATGGATTAAAAAAAGACGGTGACATCTCACGGGAGGAAAGGCGGTGACATCTCACGGGAGGAAGAGAGCAAGATAGTTGTGTCGAGGATCACTAGGGCCCAGCACTTACCCAGCGGCAAGGAAATGTGGTCACACATGCCCAGAAGCTGCCCAAAGCTGACAGGGCCATCGTTCTTGTTGATGTCCATCTCCTCGATCCTGATATTAAAAAAAAAAAAACTCAAGCCCATCCCAGTGATACATTAGAGAAAATTACATGCCCCCCAATATTTATTTATTATTTTATTTTTATTTTTGTTGTGTCCGCTGACCGCCACCAGAGGTCAGCGAACACTCCAGAGCTTGAATCTGGAGTAACAATGGGGACTAGGCTCCTGGTCTCTCCATTGGGGGACCAATGGGACCGAGGCGGGAGATTTAAACCAACCAACGGGACCTAGGGGTGTGTCCCCAAGTATGTACATAGTTGGCCAGCCGGCCATTTGTCTTTGTCCTTTGTTGTGTGCCAGTAAACCATGTTGATTGCTACATGAGTCTCCGTGGTTTCTCCATGCGTTTAACGCACTACACTTCAATTTTATTGCATTTATACCCCGCCCTCCCCGCGAACGGGCTTAGGTACAAAGGTACCAATACTGACATATTTTATAGAAAGAATCCTTCCTCTAAGGAGCTCAGGGTGGCATATAATTCTCTTCTCCTCCATTTATTCTTACAATAATCCTGCGAGGTAGGAGGAGGAGGAGGAGGAAAAGAGTTGGTCTTTATACCCCGATTTTCACTACCCAAAGGAGTCTCAGAGTGGCATACAATCGCCTTCCTCTCCCCACAACAGACACCCTATGAGGCGGGTGGGGCCGAGAGAGCTCCGGGAGAACTGCTCTTGAGAGAACAGCTCTGAGAGAACTGTGACTGGCCCAAGGTCACCCAGCTGGCTGCATATGGAGGAGTGTGGAATCAAACCTGGTTCTCCAGATTAGAATCCACAGCTCTTAACCACTACACCAAACTGAAACTGAGTAGCTCAAGGTCACCCTGTGAGCTTCAGGGCAGAGTGGGGGTTTGAATCTTGGTCTCCCCCCCTATGGCCCTGTACTATCTACTCCCCCACACTGGCTCTTCAAGATTCCCTTCAGCTTCGGGGGAAAGTGTCCCAGGATCCCTGGGATGTTAAGTTCTCCAGGGAGCTTGAATCCTTGATACGGTTATCAGGTGCTCTGGAAACTACGTGGCCCAATGGTTTCACTGAGTGTGTGATGGCCATCCATATGGCAGGGGGAGTTTTTTTGATATCTTGGTTTGCAAAGCGCAAATTGAGCCAAAGGAGATCTGCCCCTATTTATTGACTGTAACATTCATATCCTGTCTTTCCTTGTGGTTCAAGGTGGATTACAATAATGGTTAAAAACATTTCCAATTAAATTGGAATAAATTAACAGATCCCAAATCTTTTCCCTCCCTCCCTTCTCTTCAAAAGATGCCATTGCTGCTGCGGATGTCCCAAAGGCACTGACGGGATCAAAAATAAAGCTCTTCCCCAGTGCAGTTCCTGGAGGGAAGGGACAGGCAAAAGATTCTCTCTACAGATGAAATGTTGCAGATTCCCTGACTACACTCTACTGCCTTTCTCTCCCAGCCTTCAGAGATCCTCGCTTCTTCCCAACCCAGCTAAACATGAGACACACAGAAGAAAGATCCATAGGGGGGATGGGGGGGGGACTGAACATACTGGTGCTACCCCCACCCATGATTGAGTGCACTAAGAACATAATGTTGGATCAGGCCAATGGCCCATCCAGTCCAACACTCTGTCACACAGTGGTCAAAAATACCAGGTGCCATCAGAAGGTCCAGCAGTGGGGCCAGGACACTAGGAGCCCTCCCCCTGTTCCCCCCCCCAAGCACCAAGAATACAGAGCATTACTTCCCCCAGACTGAGAGTTCCTACCTATACCTTGTGGCTAATAGCCACTGATGGACCTCTGCCCCATATGTTTATCCAATTCCCTCTTGAAGCCATCCATGCTTGTAACCGCAGCCACCTCCTGTGGCAGTGAATTCCACGTGTTAATCCCTCTTTGGGTGAAGAAGGACTTCCTTTTATCCGTTCTAACCTGACCGCTCAGCAATTTCATGGCATGCCCTCTCTCCATCTACACATGCTCGCCTCATGCAGCACAGCACCTCTGGCATGCACAAAAGGCATACACATAGGTTACGGTCCCCAGGTTTCAGGACCTTGGACTGAGAAAGTGGTACTTCTGATCGCAGGACCGGAGCTCACACACGTGTACAGTTTGAAGGCGTGTCACTTCTCGGCCCATGCTGTGGTGAGTGTGTACAGGTGGGGGATGGAGCCAGTGCATTTGATCCCGCTCCTCTTGTGCAAATAACATCTGTACGCACCATCTCTTGAGTATCTTTATAGGCGATTCACCAACAAAACAAGGCCCCCGTCACCTGCACTACCTTTCCTCTTCCGAACCCCTCCTGTACCTTCGCACAGCATGCTCCACCGAGGCTTTGTTGTGCGTGGCCACTATCAGCTCAAACCTGCCTCCGGCATGAGACGCTCTGTCCAAGGCGAAATCTAGACAGCGCCTGTAACTGTGCCACAGGAGAAAAGGAGAATGGACATTAGCATGGAAAGAACCCCCCACCCCACCCCAAGTTCATCTCCTCAGAGGTGCAGAGCTGATCGACAGGTCTGTGGGAAGGGTCCTCAGCTAGGGTTCCCAACCTCCAGGTGTGGCCCGGAGATCAGTTTCCCTGGAGAAAATGGCTGCTCTGGAGGTGGACCTTAATGTCATCATTGGGTCCCTCCCCTCCCCAAACCCCGCCCTTCCCAGGCCCCACCTCCCACATCTCCAAGGGTTTCTCAGCCCAGAGCCGGCAACCCTAGTTCTCACCTTTCATTGGTAGCTTCCCAGGTGGCATGCACAGGATCACGATATCCTTTTTCCCTTGCCCGTTGCCGTTCCTTCTCCAGATAAGCTCCTCGGACCAACTTCACTCCAAAACATACCCCCAAGCGCTCAGCGAGGGCCATGTCGTGACTCAGCCGCTTCAGAGTGTCCTGGAGGAAAACAGACAAAGGGGTCAGAGACAATATGGCTGCTACAGAACAGGAAACCATGAAGGAGTTCTCTAGTATCATTGAGTTGGTGAGGGTAGAGTGGCAGAGGGAATAGTGTGGTGGACAGCAGAAGGACTGTTTCTTGGGGGGGGGGGAACCCACCTTGAGATATGCTTGATATGTGTTCCAGATCCATGGGACTTGGGTGTTACAGGCAGCCATCATTGCCATGGTAACTAGTGACAGGGCAGGATTAATGTAGGTGTATTCAGCATCTACCAGGACACGGACCTTTTTCTCCACAGCATACTGAAAAGGGAGACAGGATTAACCATGATGAAATTCACTGGATGACCCAGCTTTCTGGTTAACAAGGCTGACAACTGAAGATTTCACACTGCTCTGTCCAGTACAGTCACTAAGGTTTTAGGCGAGGGCAAAAAAAAATATGTGCACACGTGGCACCTCAAAGATGCGCTCATTTATTGGGTCACGTGAGCCTTTGTCAACAGCCTCCTTTCCAGATGCCTAGATTGACAAGCCGCTGAGTACAGGGAAAACAGACACAGAGATTACGTTTACAAACGTGTGCGTCTTGCTCTTCTAGCAGACTTCCCAAGTGGCTAATAACAATATATTTATTGTTAATAAGTAAAGGCTGCTAAGATGGGCTTCTAAATATAGACCAAATAGAGAACATTTGCTGCTGCCTCCCACAGAGGTATCGTTTTATCATACAGGACCTCTAAGAATGACATAATAGTGTGAAGACCCATCATGTCGTAATCTGGGCCTGCTTCCATTTTACACTCCTCCAAATTGGGCTGCTTCCTCATGGAAGGGAGTGTCCAGAGGTCATTTCGGGGGGGGATCGCAGTTCCCCTGGTTGAGGTACAGGGGGCGGGGCACATTACGAAGCCCCGCCCCCTGCTTCCGGCCGCCCCACTTCCGGCCCTCATTAAGCCAGGAGGAGGCAGGAGAAGAGGGAGGGTAAGTTGCTTCCTCCCTGCCTCTCCCCACCCCTGCCTGCCTGGGGCCAGGGAGGGCTTTCGCGAGGCTTCCTTGCACTCCCGCCGGCCTTGCAAGTCCACCGCCGGGCCCCTCATGGGGCTCGGCAGTGGAGCTGCAAGGCCGGCGGCGGCAGCCAGGACCGTTGGGGGTGGGGTGTGTGGCCTTATGACACACTTCCGGTGATGTCAGGGGGTGTGGCCTTATGACACACTTCCAGTGATGTCAGGGGGTGTGGCATGTGCTAATGAGTTGTGCTAATGAGTCCCCCTAGCTCTTTTTCTACGAAATGACCCCTGGGGGTGTCTATGTGTGTTTTAAGCTTTTGTACAACACTAGTTGTCTTCTTTCCCAAACCTACTTTGCTAGCAATTGTTGGGGGGAAGAGCACAGTCCAAGAGGAGGATCCAGACTAAACTGTCTGCAAATGGAAGGGGAGGGCCAATCCCATCTTCCTGCTGCAGCTCCCCCCCCCCCCGGGTTTGTTCCTCATACCATTCCTGAGGGTTCCTTTTCTCCAGGAGCACCATTTTTGGGACATTAAAGGGCACCTGCTGGGGAGGGGGAGGCAGGCAAGTTGTGTCCTGTTAGCGGAACTACCTTCCGTTAGCAAAACATTTAGTCCGGATCCAAGCCCAAGTGGTAGTTTTTGAGGGCTTATTTGGGTTAGCAGAGTGCTCAAGGCACATAACGCAGCAGAACCTATCTGGGTTGTGTGTGCTGATTGGAACAAAGTTACACACGGAGCCTGGAGATAAGATGTAATTCCAGGAGATCCCCAGGTCTCACCTGGAGGGCTGGCATCCCTAGGTTGCACAACGGGGGAAATGGCAGCTGACAAAGGAAAGCGAGAAGAACTATTCTGTGGGGAAGCCCCATTGTTAATGCAGAGGGCTCTGCCTTTGTAGAAACTATGAATACAAAGCAGAGCCTCTCGGACCTCTGGCTACGGCCTCAGAGTTCTGTCTCGTCCTCGCTAGATCCCTGCCTCCTCTGCAAAGCAGCTTCCTGATGGACGTCCATACCTCTGCTACAGATCTGAGGCGACTCAGTGATTTTTGGAAATGCAGGTTCTCTTCTGGGCTCAGGCATCCGAAGCTCAGTTCCTAGCAATGGAATGTGGGAAACAGAAAGGATTCATATTCTCAAAGGAGAAACTGAAACTGGGGTGCTCAAAGGGGCAAGAGGTAAAGGCACCTCACCTCTCCTTTCAATAGAGCCAGGACTCTCTCAACAGTCAGGTCTAATGGTCCTTCCTGCTCTTGCAGCCGAAGAGTGATGGTTTTCTATGAAGAGATGCAGGAAAGGGGATCCCCAGTAAGACCAGAATAACTTCCTTTGTCCCCCCACAAAAAAGAAGTAGCACAGAATCCAAGAATGGGGCCAGAATTACTTATGAGCAGGGCCTTTGAGAGATTTTGCAACAAGAACAAAATCAAAAGTTGGCAAGAGATGAACCCACATTTTGCAGGTATAACTTTTATAATTAGATATAATAAAAGGTATAATTTTTAACCTGTATGCTATGCAAATTCAGGACATTTATACATATTTGCTTCGGGGGATTTTGTACACTTTAATGTCTCATGGGTGAAAACTGCAGTTTGGAATTAGGACTGCCGACCTTCTGGTGGACTTGTGCGGCAATCTATTCAATGATAATGATTAAGCATTTATATTATGGTACAAATTACAAAACACATTCCAGTACAAAATAAAGTGTCCTTTTAAACCAAACGGTCCGTGCCCAAAGTTCCTCTGTATAATACAGCCACTTTGAGCTGCATTATACAGAGGAACTTTGAGCACGGACAATTTGAGTGTATTCAAAGCTGCCTTGAATGCATGATATGTTGTGAAACATCTAATTGAAATGTAATGTAAAGCTTCGTCCTGGGCTAGGATCCAAATCCATCCAATCGTGTTACTAGTCCAGGAAGCACCTAACCAATCACCTTCTAGCAAGCTCCCTGAGCGGGAACATCCGTGATTGGTCCTTATGTGAAGAACCTTATTGGTTGGTATTTGTACAGTGGGTGTGGCTACATTAGCCAGGAATGTTTAAAAGCAGGACAGCTGCAATGTAAAGGCTGTTCTGGCTATCAGATGTTGATCTGTGTTGGAGTTGTGTTTGAGTGGGAGAATAAAGTTGTGTTCTTGCTGAATCACTCTCCAACTACTTTGTTAAGCGAGCGACTTAACAGTTTGGTTTAAAAGGACACTTTAAAATATCTGTATATTTTGTATTGGAATGTGTTTTGTAATTTGTACCATCATATAAATGCTTAATAATTATTATTGAATAGATTGCATAATAATATCATGGGTGGGTTTTTTTGTTTATTTACAACCTATCCCACGATCTCACATTTGTGTGACCCTCTGGTGGGGCCCGGAGATCTCCCGGAATTACCACTGATCTCCAGACAACAGAGGTCAGTTCTCCTTGAAAAAAGGGCCGCTTTGGAGGGTGGGCGTTTGGGCATTATACCCTACTGAGGTCCCTCCTCTCCCCAAATCCCATCTTCTCAGGCTCCACCCCCAAATCTCCAGGAATGTCCCAAACCAGAGTTGGCAACCATAATCCCAGTTTAAGTCAGTCCTGGTGCAATTGACTCAATAGCAATAGTAATATAATATCTTTGATATAATCAGGACAAGCAAAAAACCCACAGTGCATGCTTGCTTGTGATGCTTTACCTGGAGGTAATAAAAGACATAACAGTGCTGCTTTTTAATATATTATACATAAAGGACCAACTCCACTACTAACATTTTCCACCCCATTTAGTTACAGTACCCTTAACGTTCTAAACTAATGCTGACAAAACTCCGAAAAAAGTTAATG